CATTTAGCATGATATTTAACTGAGAGTGTTCTAATGAATTTGCAGCATCAAATCACACACTCTTTCTGCCTTTGTTCATCTTCACACAGCTTTTCGGGAAATATGTCCATTTCCTTCTTGGGGTGAAAAAAACCTTCAATTCTCTTTTTCTCTGTGTTCTGATTGTTTTCTTAAAGCACTTAAAGTTCTGATGACTGGAAAGTTGAGAGTTTCAAAGTCCACGTTTTAAAATTTATAGTGTGGCTGCTTGGATTTTGTAATAATATAGGAATTATTTGGGAGTTGATGGTGTAAAACAAATTACAGAATTGTAGCTGAGGGTTTATGAAAACCCCTGGTGTGGTGTAAAAAGATCACATTTCTCAGAAAGTAGGTGTCAGTTTCTGAAGTAAACCTCCTTGGGCATTAAAAAAGAGAGAGATGTAAGAGATTCAAAACTAGCATTTGTAATATTAAGGAGAAAATTCTACTACACTAATATGTAGAAGCATTTATTAGATAGCTTTAAAATATTTTGTTAAGTATTCTTTAAAACAATTCTCAGAGGTATATTACTAAGGCACATTTTCAGGCAATATAGACAAATAGTAAACTAAATGATTTTAGAGATCAGTGGTAAACATGTGTTGTGTATCCACACACAGAATACACAGAAACCCAAGAAGTGATTGTCAGATGATCTGGACACAGACTTTTAGAAAAGTTTACTCTACCAAGTTCTGAGGAATAGTGCTACAGAACGAGGACTCCGGTGATTTTCATAGATATGCTAGCCTACGCTAAAATCTCAGGAAGACTATTTCATGCATACTCAATCAGATGGCAGGAAATATTTTAAAATTTGGGTTTGAATTATATTGGTGCAAGTGAGAGCACTAGATTCTGGGTTCTCTAGTCAAGGTTTGGTGAGTCACATATTTCTTATGTGGCCCAGCTTTAAAACAAAAGTGGCAGCTCAATAAAATTTCTTTCTTAAGCTTCTTCAATTAGAAAACAAAAGTAAAATGTAGTTAGTGGTTGGACCAGAAGACAAATGGAGGCATTGGGGAAAAAAATATGTGATAAAATTAGGGTTCAAGCAAACTTAAAGACTTGACCAATAATGTTAAGTGAAATAAATCAGACACACAAGTTTAAATGTCTTATGGTTTCTCTTAAATGAGAAAATCAAAGTATAAAAAATTTAAAGAGAAAACCAAAAGATAGATAACAGGAAATAAGGAGATAATTTTTTTTTTTTGGCAAATGGGAATGGGCCAAGAGGTCCAGGGAGGGAGCAAAAGGGGCATAAAAAAGAAGTAAAAGGAAATAAAATGTATTATGTATGTGCATCAACTCTCCATTATGAATGCAATCATTATGTATTATAAACATGTACAATAAAAAGTTTTAAGACTTTGAAAAAATGTGTTTAAATAAAATCTGTGAGGCCCACATACTATGGATATGCATAAAGAAGCCAATTAGGTGGAGATGGAAAGTGAAGAACAAGGTGCCTGCTCGGGGAGACGTACCCTATGGTTGAGAGAGCCCATCATGCCAGAGGCAGCATTTCCTTCCCTTCTGTACTCATCCCAGAAGCCCCCTGAGTTCCTGCTGGGTTGTGTGGAAATATCTGGTTACTTTGAGGTCTCTTTGTCTTTGCATTAGAAGAAAAAAATCCCAAACCAATAAATTCTGGAGGCTTCTTGAATGAGTATCTTTGCCTTGAAACTCAAATCTTACAATCAGTGAACCCCAATAAACCTCATAATTCCCAGAAAATACTATTTGTAGCACAAGAACATTTTAACAAGAGCTGTAACAGTGTTAAAACACACACAAAGTTTTATTTTTTTGATTATTGGTTTTACTAAACATGGCTGTACAATTCCGATTACCGCTGGCTGTCACATAAAGATAAGGGCCATAGGAAAGTTCGTGAAGAGGAATATCTTTTGCCCATAACCTGGCTACCCACTTCTCCCTGCAGTGTGAAGAGGCTGGCAGGACTAGTTTTGAGTAAAGATGAAAGCTGTGAAGGCCATAGATAAAGTTTTGTTTTTTTATTTCCTACTGCTGGGTATTGAACCCAGGGCCTAACCACTGAGCTATATCCTCAGCGTTTTTGTAGTTTTTATTTTGAGACAGAGTCTCACTGAGTCAAGTTGCTCAAATTGGGCTCAACCTTGTGATCTTCCTGTCTCAGCCTCTCAGAATGGTGGAATTACTGAGGTGTGCCACCACGTCCAGCAAGTAGAAAATTTTTTGAAGGTCCTTGGAATGTGACATGAAAATTATTGTTGGCTTATAGAATTTCAGACTTCATGAGACCTTAGTGATCATCTTATCAACTTTGTTTCATAGAAAAGCCTGAAATCCGGAGGCCCGATGATGTCCCAAAGGACGATCGATAGGCAGGATGCCAGGGACTGAGCCCCGGTTGCTTGTTACAGTTCCCTGCCTTCTGATCCAGATTCTGTCCTCCATATCTAGACGGCAACTTCTCGGGGGGGGGGGGCTCTCTTTAGAGCAGTTATCCCAGTGGCTCATGGGCAGGCTGGGGGAGGATTGCATGGATCTTGGAATTCATCAAAAAATAATGTGCATGTTTACTGAATGCCCAGTAACCTGAGAACAATGAAGAAATGGGAAGGTAAAACATACCCTGTTCAGATTTGAACATTTAAAACTTTTATACCTTAGGAATTGGTGCACATCAACGTTCAGGATCCAGATAATAGTCTGGCTATGTAGAAATATATTGTGCTTATAATTATGAGTGTTTTGTTAAAGCTGTTAAAGAGTCATTTTAGACAGAAATCATGACCTATGAATCATGCCCATAAGATTAAACCCCTTGAATGTAAAGTGAGCACTTTAAACAAAGTCAAAATTAAGCCCTACTATTCAGTTTTATTTCTTTGCATTGCATGTGCCATGGGGTTGTTTTCTCTAAGATGGCTGAGTTTTAATTGACTTGTTACCTGTAGTAGATTTTTCCCATTGAGTAAAAAGTCCACAAATTTAGCTTGGAGGATTTGCCCAAGGCAAGGTGTTATAAGCATTCACAAATCACCACTTGTATCCTGTTTCCACCACCTTTGCCCCCATCCAAGTCTATGTAAATGGTCTCACTTGCCTTTTGCACAAAGATTCTATAAACTCACTACTGCCTAACTGTAGTTATCATAACACTGTGCTGAAAGAAGATGATAACATTGATGGGTCTCCCAACCTGAATAATATTTAAGCAAATATTTTAAAAATGTATATTGCAAAACTACACAATACTAGCTCCCATTTGCTGAGTGGCTGCTGGGTAGTAAGTATGGATTATCATTAATTTATTTAGGGTCTTTAGAATTATCCTAGGGATAACATCTGCTAGGTAGATTTTACAGATGGGTAGACTAAGATTCAGAGAACCCAGATGGTATATCTAGGAAGAGGCAGAACTAAAGTTTAAATTCAGGTGTGTTTTTCTTTAAAAGCTATGAATGCTTTTAACCAGTATGTTCCCCTGCCTCTCATACGACTGAGAGATTCTGGCGGTTGCAGTAACTTGCAATTCTACTTGACCCATTAAGATAGAATATATTGAAAAACACATGTGTAACAGAAGAACACAGCTGTCCATGGCTCAATAAATGGACAAACCCTTATTGATATGTACGCTCTGGATGGCATGGAGCTTCCTGCTGTAGCAGGTTCCAAGAAGAAGAGTCAGGCTGTGCCCTCAAGGACTGTATAATGTAGTTGGGGCAATATGATGTGCACATCAAGGGTAACTAACAACACTGGGCTTATATGATAATAGATGACAAGAAATACCTTCAGGGTAGGAAAGAATAATAAGATGGGAGGTTATTCCTTGCCCCAGGAGAACAGAGACTTGCAGTACAAACTATGCCAGAAAAATCTTTATGAAATTGGCTAATTTTATTTGAGCTGGAGATGATTTCTGGGCTCCTGGGTTGCTGACCCCATTCTGGCTCTAAAGTTAGACTTTTTATGAAAAAAAAATTCCTATCATCAGAAAGACAGTACTAAGTGCATCTGCTCTACCTTGTGCCACAGAGCTGTACTGATCAGACAGAACACTTATTTTGATCATAACCTAGACCTATTCTTGTTGGAGACTGAAATCTGGAAGAGTTTGGGATGTTGCATTCTTGGAATCAGAATAATAAGACTACAAAGTAATTCTTTATTCCCTAACTCCAGGAAAATGCATTTTAAAATTAAGGACAAGCTACCTAAAAATTTCTGCTCTGGCACCTTTTTGGGTGGTCTTCATGAGTTAGTAAAATGGCATTTAAACTAAGGACTCAAACCTCTAGCAATTAGTCGGCAGCGGCTAGTAATCTTTGTCTAGCTTCTCCTCCTGAAATGACCCATTGAGAAACAGAGCAGGCTACCATCACAGAGTGCTGGCTGTCTGCTTCCCCTTGTTGTGTCCTAAATATGTCACCTCAGCATGGCAGGCTGACATGCCTTGGCCCCACTGTCAGGCATGTTTGTAAAAACTACCCAAATCCTTGTTTTACATGCTCCACATCGTCTTCCCATGTCTGGCTGTATACTGTGGTGTCATCAATCAATGCCAAGCTGCATTCACCCAACTTCGTCAGCACTGTGTTTACCTTCATCTTAAATGTAGCTAGTGTGTTCCTGTTGCTGAAAGGGAGCCCCTAGGACATACAGAAAAGCTAAGTGTGGTCCAGGCTCCCTGTGCAGTCACATCCCATCCCTTTGGTTACCAGGGCCTCTTCATCACCATGCTCTGATTGCTTAGTAACATATCTACTTTCAGGATCATATCTTGCTTTTGATGATCTAGGCAGAACTTGGAAGAACACTACTCAAATTCCCACATGGGAATCCTCTTTGGGTACTTTGGTCAATCACCCTGGTCATTAGGAGCTTTAGAGAACCTATAACCATTTAATTATTGATGTCACAATAGATTCCAGCACCAAAGAAAATTGTGGTAAGCTCTGATCTCTCTTCAGAGGACAGAACACTAGTATAACACTGGTATAGCTAGGAGGAGAAATTGGTAATAGTGTGTGAGTACCTTGTTTTTGTCCAAATATGGAAACACCAGTTTGTCCTGATTTCTGTGTCTGAAAGATGACACAAAGGATACATTTGACTTTGTGTACCTGCCAAGGACTGACTCCTGTCTGTTATTGCCAGGTGAGTGGTTGCTTAATTATTTAAAGGAAGTGTTTGTGAAGATGCCCTAGATGTTAATTCATTTGATGTTACCTCTGTGGGAAATTGTGATAGATGAAGAAAGCTTTGAATATACATGAGAGCTGCTTCTGATCCATTGTCTGATTTTCTTTTCTAAGGTCCTTAAAGAGAAAGATAGGTCTCCTTGTTTACTTTTTCATCATCCACAAAATATTCTACAATGGAAGTTGATCTGAGATGCATTGTAGAATCTTGAGGTTCACCAAAGTATCAAATATAGGCACCTTTCTCTCTTTTATGGATGTATTGTCCTACAGAACTACCCTTTGCTTCTTTGAATTTTTGTTCCTTTGAGCAGCCCTTTACAGTAACATCAGAAATTACCTTCTCTTTTTGCTTTTCTGCACCCTCTGTTTAAGCCAATCAGTATTGTGAACATATATTTGCCTGAAGTCTAACATGCTAGTTATTAAAGTGAATTTAAAAACTTATGTTCCAGAAAAAGGTCCCTAGTCATAGTAGCCAGCTTTGTTTTTGTTGATTATTTTACTCTCTGAGAGTCTCCTTGCTAAAGCAATGGAAAGCCATGTGGGCTACTCCTTCTATTCTCTCCTATGAACTTATTCCTGGATTTCCCTACTGGCCAATTTTCTGTGCTCCTCATTTCTTGACCTTGGCTGTGAAACATCTTAGTTCTTGACCTGAACACAGCCAGTAATCAATTAGTAGAGCCAGAAGGGTATCACTGAGGTGGAATTTCCCAGCTGCTACTAAAAGCATGCAGAGGCCGGTAGTTATTCAGATTTTCCCCACTCTAGTGTATATTACAGAGTTAGAGATGGGTGGACCAGGAGGACTAAAGTCATAAGGGACTATTGACACTGAGTAAGCTACTTCTCTCAGTTTAAGTAGCAGTTCAGCCTCAAACCAGAGACATGAATCTCTGCTCTAGGTATGGAAGCTGGAGCTGAGTAGATAATTGATGGAAATGCTGAGCCTTGATGACAATTCTACAAAATTCACTCTATGTCCAGTAATCCACAAAGACAAATTTCTTTGGGGAAAAGATGTTGGCATTCTCAAATGGAACAACATTATCACAGCCTTTTTTCTCTGCAAGATTTGCTTTTACCGATTAAAGAAGAAAAGGTAAAGAGTTAGAGGACCTTGGCAAATTTCCCTGAGGTAGAAAATTTATCCTTACCTGAAGGTGAAAGAAAGTGTGAATAGTGCCTTCAAGGCAGTTCAAGAAGTATTCATTAATCAACAAGTATTTATTTAGCATTATTTTCAGAATTGTGCCCAGGGCTCTGGTAGAATAATATAAGAAGTGTAAAATAGAATCCATCCCCTCAAAAAATTTATGCTCTAATTGGACAGAGAAGAAATAATAAGAAGCAGTTTAGAATAAATGCTAAATCATATGTTTCAGGACTGTAAGAATGAGGAAGCGTGTCGAGGAGACCTGCAATAGTCAGGGAAACCTTTCCCACAGTGACAGAGCTTGAAATGAATCTTGAAAGGTGGGTTAAATATAGTTAAAATGACCCTCACTTTAATTAATTCACAGAATTAATTAATTCTGATGGTGAGGAATGTGACCTAGGATACAGCACTATTGCCACTCTTGTCTTTAATTACAAAGAGAAAGAATTAACCTATACCATGAAAGCATTTCAAATGCATGGCCAACTTTGAAACAATTTATAGACATGCCACTTAAGTAGTGGGCTTTCACCTAATTGACCTCATTTCTCCTTTATACTTTTTTTTCGTGGAGGCATTGTATCCTTTTAAAGTTTTTGAACTCTAACTTTGCATTAATTTATTTTGCACCATATGCAGATTTCTTAGACGTAGATTAGAGTTGAGCCTGAGGACTTAGACTAAGGACTTTTTCCACATCTTATCATCCAGAAATGAGTTACCCAGCCCACTGCACATCTGAATAAATCAAAAGGGAGCCACCTCTTGTTTCCTAGGTGACAGGCAAATGGCATTGACCCTATGCAGTGAGTGTACTTTGCAGCAGGATACAAGCTGCCACTTCCTTCACATCTCTTCATATGCCCTGGAAAAACTTCTTTGCCATTATTCTGTGTCATCTTGAATTAATCTACAGTTGCAAAAAGGAGCAATTCTACCCCTCCCCTATTACCATTCATTTAGCCCTACCACATCCACACACAATGGCTTTAAAAGTTCAGGAACAGCCTTTAATTTGTTGGGTACATAATGATAATAATATTAACACATTTATGAAACATTTTAAAATTCCTTTTTGTATTCAGTTTATCTACCAGTTCTATAAACAAATAAAGAAATAGAAGATTGTTAAAAACAACTCTCCCATACATAAAAATGCTTGTTTTCTTTATAAAAAAGAATATAAAGGAATTTTTTAAAGAAAAGAAATGCTTTTAGAAGCATTTATAAAATGCTTCAAGAAATGCTTTTTTCATTATATAGAATTCATACTGGATAATTGTGGAAAAATGTGTAAAACACATATAAACCCATACATACTACATTTGGAAAGAAGGAACAAATATGGATGAAAAAATCTAAGACCTGCAGAGGTTAAGACATGTCCAAGGTCATATTTCTTGATAAATGACAAGATTGGGCTCAAGCTTAGATTGCCAGAGGCCAAATTCTTTGCCACTGGGGCACCCAGGATGTTACTGTAAGAGCTTTACCACCCTTGATATTCAGAGGGGTATATAATTTTATCAATACAATACAAAGGTTAATGGGATTGTCTCCTTCCAACTCCATCATAGTAAACGCAGTCTTTACAGCAACGTTAAAAAAAAAATGACCTCTCTCTGGTTTATGCTGATCATTAACTAAGATTATCCTCACACTAGAGATTTACTATACCAAAGAGCACTGACATCACTAACTGCTATTAAGTACATGATACTTATACTCCATAAAGTGGACCAAAATACCTTTGTCAGCAATGTAGGGAAAATAGACGTGGCCAGAGGCATCATCCACAGAAAATAGAGCCATAGTCAGTGGAATATGTCCACCAGGTTGTGAGGCACTCTGGTCATATCCAACTGATGCAAATCTCCAAAAGGACCAGAAAGTCTAAAGAGCTGACAGAGATTAATTCTTCGCTAATTTCAGCAGGTTATGTAGAGGATCAGAGCCCTCCATCTTGGGGGGTGGGCAGAAACATTGAATCAGTATGACTTCAAATTTAAAATGTCAAATGATTAACATAGTGTTACTGAAAGTTATGGTTTCAATCTAGACTGTCTCCCAAAAGCTCGTGTGCTCGGAGGTGGGGTGTTTTGGGGAGAGGGGTGATTAGATTATAAGTGTGCTATGCTCATCAGTGGATTCATTCACTGAGGAGATAAGACTTAAATGAGCTGTTAGGAGGTGGGGCCTGGTTGGAGGCATCACCTGGAAGAGTGTATTTTTCTCTTCAGGTCCTCTCTTCTATCTGCACTTCCTGCCTGCCATGGGTTGAACACATTTTTCTTAGCCATGACTTCTCCGCCATCTTGTTTCTGCCATGGAACCAGCTGACCAGGAACTGAAACTGTGAGCCAAAATAAACCTCTCCTCCTTTAAGTTGTAAGTGCTGGGTCTTGTGTCCCAGAGGTGGGAAGTGATTAAGACACCAAGCAACCAGCAAGGAAAAATGAGCAGGAAAGAGAAAGGGAGATTTTTTTCATAGGCACTTCCAATTTGAGTTTCTCAATAAGAATTCTTACAGAAGATATTAGGCAACGGTATGCAATAAATGTTAATACATTAAGCATTTATTTGTGGCTTGTTACTTTGGAGACATCCAAGTAATCTCTAGGGACTCTGAGATGACAGATGCAGCTGTTTTCAAGGAGCAACCACTCTAGTAGCAAAGACAGACAACAGGTAAGTGACCAGAATATGTAGCACCAAGGACTCTAATAGAGGATGTTGTGGGGACTCAGCTCCATGTCCTCCATAGCTATCCCCACTGTGGGGCAGGCTGGAGGCATCACGATAAAGGACAGTCTCTTGAAATGGCCTTTTAGAGCTGCTATTTGGAATTCTAGCCAAGGACCACAGATACAGGCTGCTGCTATCCTCCCAAACTAACCAAGTGTGGTGAAGTGTCTACTTTGTGTCCAAAGAGCATGGCCTCTAAGAATAGGAAGGTTACTGGAGGTCGGAGTGCCCCCACTGCGGGGAGGGTTGGCCATTTAGAAAGAGAAGAAGGCCTTGCTTTGATCATTATAAAAGCAGACAATAGTGAAATATCAACACCAAGATTCCATTTTAGCATATCAAACTTACTAATTTCATTAAAGTAGAATTCATTTGTATAAATGATTTTACATTAAATAAGCATGATAGACATTTTGTTTCCTTTTATACCAAAAATCACTCAAATAGCACCATGAAATTTCAAAACAGCATGGACTGATTTAAGAAATTAAAATATTTTTACCCACTGCTCCTGGTCCAGAGGAAGGGGATTCCCAGCCACCATCCCTCCCACTGCTCCCAGCCCAGAGGAAAGGGCTTTTGGGCTACCTTCTGTCCCACCACTGCCGACCCAGAGGAAGGGGCTTCTGGGCCACCATCCCTACCACCACTCCCAGCCACTGTCCCACCCCTCCCAGCTCAGAGGAGGTGAGCCACGCAGGCACCAATAGCACCACCCCTGCTCCCCCCAGTCAAAATGAGAAAACATGTAAATAAGTCTCAAAACCAGACTTTCAGAACACCTATAGCAACCCCAAAGAGAAATAAGATGGAACACTCTGATACTCAACAACCTGGACCCACGGAACTGGCAACGAAAGAAGATCTGGAAAAAATGAAATCAGAAATAATTTCTCAGATAACAGGACAAATTGTGCTCCTAGTGCAAGACATGATTAATAAATCTAGAGAGGAGCTCAGGAACATGATGGAAGCCCAACATGGGAAA